GATAATCAGACTAAATATCAGAATCAGACACTAGAATAGCATCTTTAAGTGTTTTATTTATATTATCAGAATGATTAGCTTAAACATCTTTTAACTACTGAATTCATATATAATAATATAAAGAATGTAATCTTAAAGATATCTTCTTTCTATACTTATTATAAATATAATTCTTCATTACTCAGTGATATCACAGATGACATTTCAAAGAAGAGAATAGATAGTCAGAATATTAGACAGATACAGAGAATGAAGTATTTCTCAGTATTAGAAGTAAAAGTGAGATTGAAACTTTTGAATAAAATTTATAAGAAGATGATGAAAAGTATTCACTGTATTCAGAAGTAGTAGATAAAATATTATAATTAAAAACATCTTTTAATGAAGTTCTTGATAGAGAATTAAGTACTACTTTCAGCAAAGAATATCAAGACAATAAAACTATATAAGAAGCTCAGTAAGTAGTGACTAGAATCTTTCTCAGTAATAAGAGTGATAAGTAAGCAGATATATAAGTTAAAATTACTCACAGAATTAAAATCAATTTATTCTGTTTTTCACATTTTCTATTTAAAGCTCTATAAGTAATGTCTCAGAGTAGAGCTGTCTCAGCTGAATAATATTAAGATTGAGAATGATACTGAATATCTTATAAAGAAAATATTAAATAAGTGAATATATTACAGTAAGCTTCAATATCTTATTAAATAAGAAAATTATTCATTATCAGAGAATTTATGAGAATTACTTACGTATTTGAAAAATGCTGAGAAAGAGATTGCAAGCTATAAAACAGTTAATAAAGATTATCTCATTACATATCAGAGATGTTAAGTAAGAAATACTGTTTAAAGACTTCTTATTTTTCTCAAAGAGTTTTTTAGAGATAATCTCACAGTGATAAGTTAATATCTTATAGACTCTGTAACACTCTTCTTCTATTTTCTCTTAAAAAGTTTTTTAAAAGTTTAATAAGATTATACAAGTATAAAATTTCTGAAGCAGTTAATAAGAAAAGAAAGAGATATTTAAAATTAATAAAAAGATTAATATTAATTAATCTATAAGCTGCTGCTAATCTAATAAGACTGCAGCTTACTGAAAAAGTAAAAAAAGAGAATCTTAGAATCTACTTATTAATAATTACATTCTTATTAAACTCATTCTTCATCATTGAAGTTTTTAGTACTGATATCTTTATCTGCTGAGAAGTTAGTGCTGCAGCACTGTAGAAGAGTATACTATAGAAAAGTATAAGTAGACTGACCGCCGGGACCATGAATTTCACATTTGATTCCATTTGGTCTGATCTCATACATTTCTTGGCGTGAGTTCTATCAGAACCAAGCCTCAAAAAAATCTGAAAATGAATCATTTCTGAGAGAAATGATGTGAAAAATAACCAGATTTAATTCAAGAACAGTGAAATGAGAGTAATTTTCCAGGATAAACTGTGAAAGATGATCATTCTTTCAAAATCAGAATGAGACTGAGACTGAAGATCAAAATCAGTCTCATTCAGTTCATTCAGTGATTGCTTATATAATCAGAATTTGATAATAATTATTAATAACACTTATGAAACAACTAAATACATTCTTGTGTAAGTTTATTCTTCACTTTCTCATGAAAACTACACTTCTCTGATATACTGTGATCAGAGATATTAAACTGTCTGATAATTTCATGTTTTACAATCATGAGTTTCTTGATTGTTTCTCCTTGTAATTGTTCTCAGTGATAGTGATAAATATCTTGACTTGAGTTAAACTTTCACTTCATTCCCATCTCTGTCAATGAAATTGTCAGAATATCACACATCATCAGTGCAACAGTTGAATATATACTCTCAACAATTTTTCATAACTCTAGAATTGATTTGATATATAAATTTGTTGAATCATCTTGAAGATAGCAGTCAAATTCAGTTTTACAAGTATGTAGTTTTGCCTGATTTTCAGTTGTAATCAATGTATGCAAGTTCTGTTTCAAAGTTAGTATTATAGTTCTATGTAATATGAAGTATTATCAAAGATTGTTACTTACTAGAGAATTATATTTCACTGTCTTTACATCTTAAACATCTACTTATTCAAATCTCTGATAGTTGACATTATAGTAGTCTCAGGCTAATTTGATATATGAGTCTCATTCCTTCTCTATCTAATCTTGAGAAGTGTAGATATTAACTCAACAGAAGAGATCTAGTAGAGCTGCTATAGCATAGTACTCTGTAAAAGATTATTTCATTTTGCTGTAGTAATATGCCAGTTTATTTCTTACAGTAACAATAGCCTGTGCTATAGCATCATTTCAGACTGAATTTCTTTTTGAGTAATTCAACTGCTTTTCAAGATGAGTAAATAAACTGTTATACACTCACCAGGCTGACTGCAGCATTGATGTACAAGTGATTAAGACTGTCTTTATTATCTTATAAAACTGAAACAGTAAATCAATCACATATTTCAACTGAGTTTACTTTATATCAGAAAGTTTCAATATCTGAATCTTTTTCTGATCAGAGTGTTGCACTTAATGATCAATCATCTGATGCAATCAAAGAGTCTAAACAGTTATCTTATATATTGAACTTCACTATATTCTAATATTCTGTATCATATTCAGTGATGTGACTGATTTGTTTATTTATTGAATATCATGAAATTGTTATTGTTATTTAGAAGAGGTATAAATCACATTAGCAATGTTTCAAATCTATGATATTTAAATTATTAGTCAATCTATTCAAAATTAACAGTAGTATTATCAAAAAGCATTATCAAAAAGCAATATTAAAAAGTGTTATTAAAAAACATTATCTTTTGCAAAGTGAATGTAAAAGTTACTTGAGTAATTACTTTCATCTCATTCTCATTTCAAGAATCAGTCATCTTATTATTCTTTATCTTGATATTAAGATTCTTTATCAGTGTTTGTATCACAAGTTAAACCACATGAGCAATGCAGGAGATATGACCTTGTTTATCATTTCAGAAATACAAAGCCAATTTTTGCTTCAAGCTCTTCATCATAGTGTAGTTATTCACAGCATTATCAGTTGTAATTGTAAGAAGACTGAGACTAATATCTCAATAGTCATTTTTAATCACAGTCATTAATATCTCTGTCATATAATTCTCAGTATGACTACTGATCAATGATTCAAATTCAATTAATGTCTCTTAATAAGTTCAGTTCTCATCAATGTAATAACATATAACTTTTATAAATGCAAGATTGTTTATACTAGTTCATGCATTCACTGTGAGAGACACTCTTTGATGATTCTTCAACTCTGATTCTAGATATTGTATATTAACTTTGTAGTATGTCTTGAGATTGAACTGAAGACAGAATCAATGTGAAATATGAAGATTTGAATTAAGCATTTGAAGAAGTGTTCAGAATTCAGGGTTTTCAATTGATTAAAGAGAAAGATTCAGAGATATACATATGTAAAGTAATTGTTCACAGAAGTTATCAGATGAGAGTTATGAAATCAGAGTACTGATACAGAATCATTTTCACATAATTTTCTTCAAATTAGAAAGTTAGTATTATTAAAAATCATTATCTGATAGAGTAACTTATCAGCTCAGTAGTAATTTTCTGATTATTTTTCTTTTATTATCTGCATTCTGATGACTTCAGATGTTAGAAAATTTCTTCAGAGCTATAATCAGTTTATGATGAATGTTTCTGAATGAAGTTGCAGTGATTACAGTAGAGAGATGACTCTTCAGTAATCTACAATACAACCTGTTGATAATTATTTCATAGTTCATCTCAATATTTATGTTGAGTTTTTCATAAATTTCATGACCTGGAATCAGATGTGAAGAATGAAGTGATTATTCATCATGATTAAAAGAGAGTATTCTGTGTTAAATTGTAAACAACATAGACTTTGTAATTTACAGTGATTTCTTGAAGAGTTTGTGAATCTTCAATAGAAGTAAAAGAAGTGAATTCAGAAGATATGATAATAATTTAAGAAAGATAATAATTTATTTTCAATAACTGATCACTGATGTGTGTAAGAAGAATTAATATAAGAGAAAATAATCTTGTTTCTTAGCTTAGTTATAATTTTAGTACTAACTCAGATTGAATATTATCAATGTATAAAAGTAAATAAATAATCTTGATTAATCTCTGTCATATTTCTTGAAATATATTAATATTGTGAAAGAGAGTATTACTAAATTGTGTTATCAGATAATATCATTAAAAATATATTAATATTGTGAATATCAATGTTGAAAAAATGTTAATACTTATACATTATAGTGATTTGTGAATCATGATAGTTAAATATATATATATATATATATATATTATTCCTGACTTGATTACAACTTGTACAATAATTTTTAAAAACTCAAAATTAATTTCAATTATTAATAATTATGAACTTACAACTAAACTAATTAATATAAAAAGAAAAAAACTTTTTCTACTTATTATCTTTCTTCTCTTTCTCATTCTTCTTATCATTCTTTACAATTCACTTCTCATTCTTCTTCTTCTTCTTCTTCTTCTCATCTGAGATAATAATCATCTTAAAATCTCTCTTCACTGTCTTCTCAGAAAAGGGTTTCTACTGCTTCTTCTCAGCCAGGTCAATCTGTGTCTTAAAATCCTGCATTTCCTGGTCTGCTGTCTCAGGTTCCACTTCAGTGACAAGCAGATTGACATGCTCAGAGAGCAGAGCTGTCTTCTCAATATTCTGAATCATGAAGCATATTTAAGATCTGAATAAGATCTCAATTCTCTTCTTCTCTGCCAGCTCCTGCTAATTAATTAGAGAATAGAAGTGTTATCAAAAATCATTATCTCTCAATAAATAAAAAACTTATCAGTTTTAACTTCTTTATCTCTTACTTTAACACTCTCTCAATCTTCTTCTATCACTGCTTATTTACAGTAACACTCTTCTTCTCTCTCTCTCTCTTCATCTTGATTTCAAATTATTCTCAGAACTTCTTCTGATCTTATTACTGCTGTATAAGACTCTTCACTGTCTTCTTCTTCAATCTCTCACAGATGATGTCATCTGCATTATTTCTATACTTAGTTCAGTCTAAATCTATCAGAAGTGTTACTTAAAATCATTATTATTCTACTCTCTTACAGAGCCTCTTCAAGGCATCATAATATGTCTTATGATCTGTCTTTTCTTACTTGAACACCTTCTTCTTCTCTTTCTTCAATCTGTGACAGTGCTCACGCGCCTTGATGATCCGCAGAACCGCAGAATATTTGAAGAGAGATGACATGATTAATTTTAGTGAGTATTGAAGAGAGGTGAAGGCAGAAGAGATAGTCAGAAATAATATAATGATAATGATGATGATGATGATAATAATAATGATGATGATAATAGTAATGATGATAGTAATAGTGATGATAATAATGGTAATAATAGTGATGATGATGATGATGATGATGATAATGAAAGAGAAAGTGTATTGAAATATATTACTGACTTATCAAATATAAAGAGACTCAAAGAAAATATTAACAGCTTTCAGCAATGTACAGAAACAGCTACAGTGTTGTATAGTAACATCATCTTCATTCAATACATGCACTGTTGATATTCTTTATATACAGTTATTATATAATCTATATCAGAGATACATGCAGAAAACAGATCTTTGTTGCTAGAATAAATAATTACAGTAATTCTCTGTTTTCATATTATAAAGATAAGTTATTCTCATTTCTTTCTTCTCTCTTTTCTCTTCTTCAATTAATCACTAATTTCAAGCTGATATGAAAACTATTAAAACACTCTCAGAAACCCTCAAATTGAAGAGTATAGACTAATCAAATTTCAAATGTAGAAGAAATCAAATTATCTTCTACAGATTCAATTATTCATTCTCTCTTAAATAAAACAGCAGTCACATTCTTCTCTCTCTCTCAATTAAACAAAACATGACCTGTGAAAAGTGAGTATCATATCAGGTCATAATGATCAACACAGCCTCAGCACACAGGGCTGTATATACGCAGTGTATGCTGAACTGAGAGACTGTGTGAATTGTAAACTGACAGCAGCATTTCAGAGAGAGCTGTGCAGTATGAGAAAGCTGCAACTCTCAGTCATGTGCACAGAGAGTGAATTACTGCAGTAAGTGTATGTGTATTAAAGTAATACTTTTTGATAATACTCAGTCTCTGATATGATGAAAATAGAGTCTCTCTGTGAGATTCATTTCTACCAGAAGTCAGAGAATCTTATATTCTTCAAGACTATCTTCATGTGCCTTGTCTGTGAAATTGATGATAGAAATCATTGATTCCAGCATTCTGCTCTTAATACTATTCAAGTAGCAGCAGAGTTCACTCTGACCATACTTTTTAAGTGTATATTTTCTAATTATTCATATTTATATAGATATATACTGATTATTTATTAGATAATATTAAGACAATGACTCATTATAACTGTGTTATTCTCACTATGAGAAATACATGATTGATGATGAATATTACAAAGACTCTGAGAAGTGAGTATTTTAAGAGTGCTGTGACTCTGTGATCTTGATTTTTTTTTTTTATTTTTATTTTTTATTTTTTTCTTTTTCTTTTATTTTTTTTTAATTTTTCTTTCTCTTTCTGTCTTTTTCTTTCTCTTCTTTTTTTCTTTCTCTTTTTTTTTTTTTTTTTTTATTGTGATTTTTTCTTGTTGTTTTATTTTTTATTTTTTTATTATTTTTTATATTTTATATTTTTTTTTTAATTAAAATGATATTGATTATAATCTGTGTTCAGAAAAGTAATGATATTTGATAACACTCTCTGTTGAATTTTCAATAAATGAGCACTATGTTATGATATTATGTAAGTGAGAAATGATTTCATAATCTCATTTAATGTCATTTTCAATAATGAGATCAGAATGAAAATGTGACTAAGAATTCAAACATATTCTTTATCTGAGACTAGATTTTTATTTGAAAAGTGAATCTGAGATCTTTAATATTTGAAATAACGGGATTTGGAATCAATGTGATGAACACAAATTATGACCAGAAATAATGCTTTTAGACAATGTGATAACTGTAAAGTTTGATCCTGGTCTCAGACACGGTCACACGGTCAGTCTAAGTATAAGAGATACTTAAAGTATTAACTTATTAATTTATAAAGTATCTCAGTTATCTATTTTAATTAAAGTGAGATTCTCTTCAATCAGTGATTAATCTCTATAATACTTTTAACAGTAGTATTAACTAATCTCTTCTTAAAATTAGTTATTCTGAGATATTTTTTCATCTCAGAGACTCATGCTTTTATCTTCTTTTATAAATAAGTAAGAGAAATCTTCTCAGTCTTAACAGAATTTATTAATATTTAAAGCTCTGAGACTCTCACTCTGTACTGCTTAAGTATCTAGACTTCTTATCAGAGCTGATATGATATCTTTCTATGAGATAATACTTACAGAGAGATAGAAGTCATTATTACAGATATAATAGAAATAACAGAAGTAAGAGAAGAGATAAATATATAAAATCTCTCTCTTCTTCAGCTGCTTAATGCAGTACAGATAAGTAATAATACTGATTAAAAGCTGTATTAGAGCCTTCTTACAAAGAGAAGATGAAGAAACTGCAGAATTCTACAGACTTAACTCAGCAGTATCTTGAGCAGAGCTCAGATGTATTATAAAAGAGAAACTATGAATTAAGCTTCTCAGAGTCACTGTTCTCAGAATCAAGCTCTCTCTGAGTTTCTCTCTGAATGATCACATAAGATTATATGCTATTATATTGACTGAGAAGAGAGACAGTGTTACAACAGTGACAGAGAAAGTAGAGAACAGACTGAATATAGATGAACTGACTGACAGAAGAGATGATACTTCACTGCAAGACACAGTAACTATCACTGCAGCTGTAAGAGAAGCAGAAGAAGAAGAAGATGTGACAATGAGAGTAGTGCTTTCACAGCTCATTGACACTGCTGTCTCCACCTTCAATCTGACTTTCTTAGCAGTTATGAAGATCACTGCTGCATCACAAAGATATTTATTCACTAGAAAATGTCAGAATAAGTTCTTTATTATTCTTTAAGAATGATACTCTCATACACTCACTGTTACAATTGAGAAAAGAAAAGAAAAATGTTTTATAGAAAGAGAGATCTTTTCAAAAAATCCTGTCACTACTATTAACTTTATCTCTAAAACACATTACTTTTACAGAGAATTTTATATATAGAATGAAATATGACAAGAGATCTGTAAGTTACTTATTAACTATATTTTTCACATTTTAAATTAATATATAAGAAACTCACTTATCACATATTTAATTTGAATGAAGATGAGAAAAGAAAAATCTATATAATCAGTAGAAAAACTCATCTATTTCTTTATATTATATACAGTACATGCACTGTTAAATCAGTTAATAACTGTTACTATATAATAAAGATAATTTCTAATCTGATAATCTTGAGAGTATCAGAACTATACTCTTAAAGAGAAGAACATTATTATATCTCTGACTGTGTCAAGACTCTGCTGTGATTTCACACAGCTTATTACTTTTATATAGATAATTTCATCTCATCTGAATCAGTTTTCAATTACTTTATAACATTATTCAGATATATTATAGAAAGATCTGATTAATAGATATAAGAATCTTATTTCTATATAAGATCAGCAGATTACTCTTTCTTAATAATAAGATACTGCTGAGATATTGCTCTGACTATTCTCACTTATAAAATGAAAGAAGAGTATCTACTTATTATCTATATAGAATAGCTAGATGCTGGCTTCTTATTAAAGAAGTCAGTGATTCATTTCTTTTCTTCTACTGAAATATATACAAGAGTTACTGTATATCTTATACAATCTTCTTAGTATACTAAGTATTACATCTGTGATATTCTCACAATAACTCTGTAGTCTATGAGCTTGCTATTCAAGCAAGATAGTCAAGCTCACTTATACAGCTTCTCAAACAACTACCTCTACATGACACCGCTGACTAGTCACTGCTTTGATTCCGTCACGTTACAATTTGATCATGTGTCAAAGTCTAAGATAATTCAAACTTTGAAGATGTTAAAACTGCCACTTTCTCTAATAAAATGAGTCAATTGTTTCATGTCTAAAAGAATTATACAACTATTCTTTGATAGAAGAAAACAAGATAAAAATGAGATAAAAATAGAAGTATTACAAGAATCTTCAATCTCACCTGTTTTATTTACAATATACACTGCATATCTATTCAAGAATAGAGAGATGAAAATAGTGAGATCTTCAAGTTATATAGATGATATTAATCTACTCTACAGTTCAAAGACAATCAAAGAGAATTTAGAAGTAATTGAGAAAGTAGTAAAGAAAATCTTTGTTAGAGCAGATATCAATCTAATTTAATTTAATATGAATAAAACTGAGCTAATTCACTTTTTTTCCAGGTTTAATGAGAAAGAACTAAGTCTAACTCTTTTGAATAAAGAGATTAAACTCAGTTTGAATGTCAAATAACTAGAAGTATGATTAAACTCCAAGTTGAATTTTAAATATCATATTCAATAAAGAATCATCAAGACAGAGAGACTACTGAATAGTATAATCAGACTATCAAATACTGAGAGAGGTCTATTCTTTCAGACTATGAGACAGTTATACATAGCCTGTATTATCTCAGTAACTGATTATAAAGTTTAAGTTTAATGAAACAATCAAGAAAACTTCACTGAACTCTTTCAAAGTCTATAAAACAGAGCTTTGAGAAGAATTCTGAGAGCATTCAAGTCATCTTCTATTAAAGCAATGAAAATTGAAGCTTCAATTTCATCTTCTACTATTTGATTTGAAAAGACCTGTATAAACTATGCTCTGAGAGTCATGAAGATGAGCTTAAATTATATAATCAGAGAAAGAGTCTCTTCTTCATTTTCATCAGTTAACTCAGGAAATGAACTGGATTGAAATAGATTTCTTGATTGAAATGAGAATAATACTTTAAAGAAAATGCTCTCTCAACTGTATAGACTATGTTCACTTATTAAGAATTAATTTTCTTCATTAAATGTTGAGAAAATTGATTATAAGAAGATATCTCTCTGAAGAGAAAAGCTGAAATCTCTCATAGACTTATAAATAAGTGAACTATCTAAAGAGAGAGAATATAAACAGTATTTAAAGAAGATCTCTACAATTAATATAAAAGACTCTATTCTGATCTGCTCAGATGACTCAAAAAATGAGAATTTGAATAGATTAGACACAGGCATTGCT